TTCTCCTTTTTGAAGATGGAGACACTGTATTATCTTGACAGTCACGATGATTTTGTTTGGGTGCTTGGGGTACCCACCTCGGCACTGGCAGCTCCATCCAGAGACCAGCAGTTCTCCGAAGCACTTGAACAAGTGCTGCCGTCTTTGCTTTGTGGAGTTATCCTTTAGTCTCACTCCCAGCTCTTTCATTTGAAAACACCATTTGTGCCTCCCTTTGCTAATCTGCATGCATGTGAACCCCCTTGGCTGCAGCACTGTTATTTGTATTGCTCTGTGTTCCCTGCACGTGGGATTAAATTCTGTCACAGCCTCCAGCTGCACAGTTTTTCATTCAAGCTATGCAGTATTGCTTTTAACACTACCAGTCCCAGAACTAATCCTTGTTCTTGGTCACAGTGGTAACCATCACACATATAATTTAGGAAGTCACCTCTGAGATGATGGTATGAATACTAGTGTACTGTGACTCATTTTGACTACCGGTCTTATAACATAATAATTGCTGTTTTCAAAAAGGGATGATCGAACCAGTGTAAACAGAGTTGTTCTCCTTCCCTGCAAACACATACTTTTGAAAAATAAGCAAATCTTGTTTAATTATTACAAATCATATTTTACAAAAAAGATATTTTCTTTCAGGTGACCTGGCACTATGCAAATTTAGATTTTAATATAAGGAAAATGTACTACCTCCTCATTACCATCAGACTCATGGCTTCTGCAGCCTGTACTCTTTCTGTGCAAAAAGTAGTATCATGATATACAATAAATAGGCAACCAATTTCTCTCAGAAGTGAAGTATTGCTGCTGATGGGTGTATTTCACTGTGAGCAGGAAGACTACAACGATCTTTAGGACAAGCATTGAATGCTTCCTCCGACGGAAACTGCGTGGGGAAGGCAGACAGCTCGAAGCACCGATTAGCTGAGGGCATAGGGATTTTTTCTGTATGGAAGATGGCAACAGGTCCTGATAGTGCAATCTTTTCTAATGCAATGACAGGTCAATGGTTCAGCTGTAAAGAAAATTTCTGGACCAACAATGGTACAACCCAGACTTTCCTAATGAAACATTAACCAGTCTGATCTTTGGCTTAAGAGATCTGGTGGTCTCTTACGGTGTTCTGTGCTTTCATGCAATGCTCTGAGGGTTGCAGCACTAAGAAGAGCAACACCCAGCAGAAGCAATAATGAAAGCAGTGACCAAGATGTAGACTTACAAAACTGAGAACTTTGCTTTTCTTGTTTTGTAGATCTAGCTGCTAAATCCATGAATACTGTTCAGGTGTGATTTAGCACCTAATTTTTCTCTCCCCAGATTAGCACTGAATGATGCAGTATAAATTTTCAATCGCCCCTCTTTTACTTTGTCTCCTCCTGCCTGTGACTTTTAGATTTGCATTCACCGTAAACCCTTGGTCCAGTGAGCAATACTTCAGCAAGTCAAGCTCCCTGACTGTGAGGCTTCTTGTGGCACCATAGGCTATGTTTCTATGTTCCATAAACGTCCTTCTCTTGAGCAGAAAGGTACCAAGCTGCAGCTACGGTTGCAGTGCTCCAGAAACCTCTCTCTTGGTTTCTCCGTCTCCTCTGTGCACCTCTCAAGTGCACATCGCTTCTGTGGTGGGACTCTCCAGGGGAAATCAACACCAGTGCAGCTCCAGCTCTTAGGGCTCTGCAGTGACATGGCCCCTCTGCGTACTGCCCTGGCTGTGTATGTAATACGCAATGTTCAAAAGCAGAAGAGAGGTTTCTGCAAGCCGTCCTTAGAGACAGGACAACCGGGCCTTGCACGAACCTTAGCTGGACTACGAGCACTTTGTGACTGGTAAGACATGCGACACTGAGTACTTACTTGGACTGGTTTTGTAGTTGTATGGCATCAGATTTCCAGTGGCAGCATAGTAATATTGGTCATATCTTCTAGAGATACCCTGAATTTTTTCTTTTTATGTTCAGTTTTGTATACGTATATGGTTATTTCTATAATAGAAAGTATCCAGAAATGAAGGCTCTCTTCTACTGCTTGATGTCATGGCTCTAAAAGTGAACAAATTATTGCATTGCAAGCCCTCTATCCTAGTTCTGCAGTGTAACGTGAACTGTGGTTTTTGCTTTGATTTTGGAAGCTACTAATTCCCTTTACAATGTACAAAATCCACTGAAATCATCTGCATCTTACAATCACATAACTTCACAGAGCTTGATCAAAGTCAGAGGCCCATTACAGCTCAAAAGCTGCTCAGGCAATGTTTTTGTTCTGGGAAATCAGGTCCTGAAAGATTTAAATCCTGGTCCCCTTTTATTTAAATGAATACAGTTCATTTCTCAGCCACCAGTACCAAGCAATGAGCTGCACACTAAGCTTATTGCTCTCTCCATCACTGATTTTATTACCTCCACAACTCACCCGTAATCTGGATCTATCAGCTGCTATCATATTGCTTCTGATCTGTTACATGTTACACCGTGTAAAAGATTTCAGCCTCATGGCTCTTCTTCAAGCAAATGAAAATAAACCAATGAAATACATTTTTTCTTTCATAGTGAGTCATAGTCCACTAAGCAGGGCTCAGGACATCACAAGGCAGTACGCTGCAGGTTGACAGTTCAGGAATAAATACCATACCAATAAAAATGCATTTAATACATACCAAATTTTGTTGTAATGTGCTCATCTGAGAGATGACACAATGTAGTATTTACTGTCTCAAGGCATTTCCTATGCTCCTGTTGCCCCCATTCACCCTATACTTATATAGGACCAGGCTACTGAATACACATGCACTTTCCTTGGGAGGTTTGGAATGGGGGTGGCACAAGCCAACCATGGAAAAAAGCAAGCTTAAGGATGGGCCATAAGAACGTACAACATGAAACTGCTGTTCATGCTGGGGACAGTACTGTGTATTTTGCGGGGACATTTAGCAAAGAGAATACAAGAGACTACTAGCGATGCCATCAAAATCATCCATTTTGCTGATTTATGACATCATTGCACATACTAAAACTCTCTCTTGCTTTCTCTTTCTTACTACAGTTTTACCCTCAAACTTGAATTGCCGATCTGATTCACTGTCCCGTAAGCTGATGACTCTTTGCTCCGCAAGCCATTCATGCGCCGCACGGACTCGACGCTTTCATTCCCAACAGTCATAGTCTGTGCCTGTCCCCAGAGTGTCAGCATAGATAGCAGCAGCAAGAGTGAGAATAGCACAGTGGTAACACGATGACACACATACATAACACGCAAAGAGAAGAATGGCTCAGTTAGAGAAGACGATCATGCAAAGCAACGTGAATCACTTTCAAGGCAAAATAAACTGAGAAAATCGTGAGAGAGAAACTCAAGTAAAGAGATGCAGAAAACACCTCTTAAAGAGATGGCTTAAGTAACATTATTTTCTATTTTGAAATTTGTGCAACCAGATTAATAGGAAAAGTGAAAGCAAGCCTGTGCAAAGGTGTCTTACTCCAGAAGAATATTTCCTTTTATTTAATTACGGCATTACCCATTTTGCAAAGAATATACGTACCTACTGTCTTAGGATAAACACAGGTCTTCTGGTGATTTGGTTTTAAATAACTTTCTTTTAATAGTCACCGGAATAATTATTCCCACAGCAGAATAATGACCACTTCCATGGACCAAAACCTTGGAATTTTTGAGTGATGCCACTGGATACTCTTACTTACTAGTGGTTGCTTCTTGCCTACTTGTTCATCTCTAAAGAAGACATCGTATCCAAACCTGAAATTACAGACCCGATACAGCAGCTTCTGCTGCTGCCGTGCTGGTTTTGGAAACAAAGGCTTCCAGCGGCAGTGCATCTGGCATGTGTGTCTGCAGACAGGCAAGCATTTCTCCTCTCTCCTGTCATCTAGTCTTAATGGGAATCTCAATTCACCTGACAGTAATATTAAACCGGAGAACAACACTGGATTGCTTCCCAGAGCATCCATCAAATATTACATTAGCTACAGAACATTTATTAGACAGACCTGTCAAAATACAAATGCCCTGTGCCATTGTTGTCATCCCTCTTGTAAAGGAAACCATTATTTGTAGCTCAAGCAAATATTTACTTCACATAGCAAATATATGTTTACAGTGTAAACCTAAATGTTTCTACTGATACAGAAAACCAGTGACATAGTTACAGAAGCCTCGATGGTTGTGGGAATGATCATAACTGAGCTAAAATGCAGTTTAATGTCTATTCTTGTCTTTCCATTTAGCAATGAAAAAATCACAAAAGATTGACAGACTTCCTAAAAATATTTCTAGACTGACATGTAGGTTAAAAACAAGCCTCTCTTCTACATTTCAGTCACTGGTATAAAATGATGTAATAATGATACTCACAAATAGGCCCTTTGTTAAAAATCTGAAGTTAACATTGGTAACAAACTGTGGAACAGTAGAAAGTAGAGAGGAAATTGTCTGAATCCTTCTCTTTTTTAAAGTGACCATGTTTACTGGTTTCACCTGGAAAAGAGACCAGTCTCTGGTGGTTTGGAAGTGAAGGCAGAACTGCCGATCGCTCTGCAATGGGCTGCCCTAAGGAATCTCCCTTTTTATCATGACTAGTTAGGGTGACACTAGAAAATACAGCTCTGAAGCATGTGCTGCTGTCAGCATGTCTGCATAATGTCAAGAAAGTAATATTGGCACTCTATCTATGTCACTGCTTCCAACTGTCCCTTATCTGCTGCTGTGTGTCACCATATTTGTAAAGGTACAGCTGCCTCAGCAATTGCAAGAAGAGAATAAAAATCTTGGAATTGGTGACTGATCTATTGACATTTATTGATAACTTATAAACTGCAAATAAACCCAGTGGCCAGTTTTCATCACTTTATCCAGGAGTAAATCACTCAAAAGGAAACTTTAGAATGAAACTCTCCTACAACAGCAAGACGAACTGAGGTGAGAAATCAACTGCGTGCCAGCGTGCTGTCAAGGCAGACTCCGTCACCCCAAGTAAAGAGCAGCTGTACCTTGTTTTGTCTTCTTTGCCTTCTTCGAAGCCTCAGAAACTCCTTGTGCTGCCGTGAAACAAAGTTGACTGCTGCATATTCCAGTAATGCAGCAAAGACAAAGAGAAGGCACACGGCCATCCAGATGTCGATAGCTTTTACATAGGAGACCTAGAAAGAAATAGGGCACAGCATGTTATGTTTTGAACTTCTCCATAAGCTGAGGATATTGACGTGAAAAAATAAACACATTTCTGCACAACATGAGGCCTGGTTGTTCAATGAGGTGTGGTTTTTCTTGTTTTGAGTTTTGATTTCTTAGTTTATTGGCTTATAACAAATAAATAGTCCAACTATTAATGGAAATGTGTGTTCACAACGAATACACAAGTTACGAGCTACTGCCTTTAGGAAAAGAATCAGGATTAGTCTAACAAAATACAAGTTAGCCACAATCGCAGCTTATCAGAAAGAATAGGAATACAATACTTGTTGAAAAACAACTCTAGAAAGTTTATAGATATCACCTTTTTCATCTTTTATGAAACAAATACCATATTGATTAATTAGCTATGTTTGATATCCATAACCTCAAAGTAAACTCAGGGTACTGCATCCTACTGGTTGATACGAATTTACTAATATGTCTGTTATTAAATATTCCATCCTGGTTGCTTGACCTTTATCCAACAACTCCATAAGAAAAACAAATCTTCATAGCTATTATCTACTATAAGTACCCAAATACCAGATGCCTCTGTTCTAGTAAAATCCTATTCTGATTTGAATTTGACTGGTCCACAATAAAATCAGATATATTACAGCACTGTAATGTCAGAAGATTTTTATCGTATTACCCACACTGGGCCAAACAGTAGCCAATTAATGAGCTACACACTATGCATATCAGAGGTACATTGTCCTCCATAGCTATATTTGGTCCCTGCCTTTCCTTGTAGTCTTGCAGTTTTTAAGCAGAGATCTTATGATTAGGTAACAGCAGGTTGTCTCATTTGTTTATCAGGTATTTCATCCAGGATGGAATTAAAATCATCTGACTTTTAATGTCTGCAACATACACGTGAGCTAGTTGACTAAACTACTTTGATATAAATAAATTGAGGAATGAAGAAGAACAGGCATTTCTAGGATGCTGAACTGCTTTAGACGTCTTTTCTAGGATGAGATGTGTAACACCCAAACAGTGCTGCTTCATCTTCATGTCTGTACAGAGGAGCTTAGAGCCACTGTCTAAGCATAGACACATGGGGCTTTACCCAGTTGTCTAAATAAAAACATCACATACTGCCACATTAGCCTCCATTTGTTTAATCCAGCAGAGCACAAATCTCCAGAATAATACTAACCAGTCCTCTGGAGATGTCTTAGATACCCAAGGTCACCTCAAATGTCACCACCATACAACCGAATCAAGATAAGCAAAATGGATCGTACCTAAACCCCGAAAAATTATAATCAAAGGTATTTAACATCTAAATAATACCCTGCAGGCTGAACATTTCAATGCAGTCAAAACATACAGTGGTCTGAAAAGACAGCAGAAGATGATGTGTTGTGCATCTAACATTCTAATACTTAGGAGACCCAATCTCCACCTTGGAAAGCTCCACCTCTACCCTTTGCACACACTATTCAAAATGACCTTGATATTTTGGTTGTGGCTACCATTTCATCATGGAAGGAAGCACACCTATTTTAGTAGATTTTGCTCCTATTTACCATGTGCTTGAATAGCATCACTTTTCAAATTATGTGGAACATTTTTTTGTTGACATCAAATGGAATATACTGCACTATGTGCTCCAGCAAGCAATATGAGCAGAGAAACTGGCATTTAAAGCATAGTGGAAAGGATACAGAGCTCCATCCTGCAGATTCTGAACGCTGAGCACGACATTTTAGAGGAGCCAAGTACTGTTATTCAGCCGACATCACGGGAATATGCATTTCGGTATCTGAGGCTATAATGCAGCTCCATATTGCAATGCCCACAATACAACATGCATAGACTGAAATGGAAGAGGAGGATTTAGTAGGCTAAGGTGACACCATGGATCTGTGCCTTTTGATTAGATGCACAGCAGGTATGCACTTCTCTCTCCCACACATGGAAAGAGTCTTACAAGTTACATCTTTACTGAGAGCTGTGAAAACTTGACAATGTCCCAGACGCTGTGCCACAGGCTGAGGCGCAGTAGGAGTCAAGTCATTGTCATTTCTGTAAAATGCAGCTGAGTTTAGATTGTTTGTTACCTTCCTTGAAGGGGCAGCTTGTTTTCCTTTACAAGTGCCCTTAGGAGATGTATTAGACATGCATAAACAGCTGGACCGTGCTGCCAAAGGCAGCACAATAATGCAGGGAGCTGAAGCCACAGGAATCAGCACTTCTGACTCCGCAAATCCTGTGGCAGTGGGCTTAAAGCAGGGAGGGCGAAATAGTGAAGGAAGCCCTGAGTTAGCCTTCCTGCCCCTTACGCCGTGCTGCCGTAAGTGGCATCCACACAATTGCTGAGCCAGCTGGATTATTTTAACTGCAACCTGCTGGGCTGGAAACAGAGGACCACAATATACTTGGCAGGTACACAGCTTGTTTTATTGTTTAGCCATTGCCATACCATGGCACAGCTTTAATGAGGGAACAGAAAGCAATTCCTTCTAACAATACATTAAAAATAAATAAATGGAAAAGTCCTGTAATGAGTGAAAGCTAATCCCTTTGTTTTCAAATCATTTTATGTAATTTTATCTATGTATCCCCAGTATGAACAGAATTACACTGTTAAAAACATAGTAGCCCATGCAATTTTTTAAAGCCAGACTTTTTCTAGCCACCACTATGCTCTCTGCATCAAGACATAGAGAGGGTGTGAAGACCTGTCTCTGCAGAATAGCCATGAGCAGGTTGAATGCTTGTGGGTAGAATCAGAGACCAAGGCAACAAAGGGAACCTTGTGGTTGATGTCTACTACAGGACATCCGACCAAGGGGAGTCTATTGATGAAGCCTCCTTACCCAAACCTACAGGAGGGATCACGCTTGCAGGCTCCTGTCCTGCTGGGGGACTTCAAGCACCCCAATATATTCTGGAAAAACAGCACGGTGAGCTGTAGGCAATCCAGGAGACTCCTGGAGTGCATGGAGGATAACTTCCTATGCCAGGTAGTAGGCAGCCCTACCAGAGCGGATGCCGTACCGGACCTGTGGGTCACCAACACAAGTGAGCTAATTGGTGACATCAAGATTGCAGGCTGCAGTGATCATGCACTGGTGAAGTTCGCAGTCCTGGGGATATGGGCCAGGTGAAGAGTAAAGTCAGGACCCTGAATTTTAGGAAAGCAGACTTCCAGTTCTTCAGGGAGTTAGCCAGTAGGAACCCCTGGGAAACTGCCCTCAGGGACAAGGGAGCAGAACAGAGCTGGCAGATCTTCAAGGACGCTTTCCATAGAGCACAAGAACTCTCCATCCCCAGGCGTAAGAAATCAGGAAAGGAAGGCAAGAGACCAGCATGGCTGAGCGGAGACCTGCTGGGCAAACTAAAGGGCAAGAAGGAAATGCTCAGGCAGTGGAAGCTGGGACAGGTATCCTGGGGAGAGTATATGGATGCTGCCTGGTTGTGTAGGGATAGAGTCAGGAGGGCTGAGGCGCAGCTGGAGCTGAACTTGGCAAGGGATGCAAAGAATAATAAGAAGCGCTTCTATAGGTATGTCAGCCAGAAGTGGAGGGTCAAAGAAAGTGTACTCCCCTTGATGAGCAAGGCTGGCAAAATCGTAACAACGGACGAGGAGAAGGCTGAGGTACTGAATGACTTCTTTGCCTCAGTCTTCACTGGCAGCCCTGTTCCTGCGCCTCTTGAGGGGATGGACTGCAAGGCAGGGACCGGAGAAGCAAAGTCAACTACCATAAAACTGAGCACAGTAAATGTGACAAGGCAACTTCTTACCCTTCATAATTTTCCTCACTTGTTATTTGGCCATGCCCACTATGTGAAAAAAAGACCAGTTTATGCTCTATGCAGCACTCTCTAGCATCGATGACCCTAGTGAAGTTCCTGGAAATGAAAGTCCAAGGAGGATTATACTATTCATGAAGGCCTTGCAGAGATTAAACCTTCCGCTTTCCCAGCTCTTTTTGTTTTAGCACTGTGACTCTCTCACAGTGTCTGTGTACCTTTTGGCATATTGACATGTGTCACCACCAGAATGAAACATACTTTTGTGGAGAGAAGCCAGGGGAGAACATGGTCATGTGTCCTGCAGCTGAGCAGCTGTCATTTGTTGACATTTGTGAATCAACCCAAATGTAAGCTCTGTTTCTGCTACAGCACCAGCCTCATGAGACTCCAGACAACTGCTTTAACTCTCTAATTCATTTGAACAGGTGTAAAATGGAAATAAAGACTCATCCATTCTCTCCCAGAGTTCTGCATTGTGAAAATAACTTCAATATGCAGTGCAGGGTGCTCAGCCTGTGTTAAAAAACATATATTCCCTTATTGTGGTTGATAGGATCTTACGAAAAAATATCTTTGACTTGTGATATGAAGCCCCAAGCCTCTGCTTCTGCACAATACCACATTCTAGGCAAGATTTTTTAAAGATGAAAATTTTCAGCTACTGGGAAATGTTACAATTTGAAATTAATTTCTCCTATGCATTAGAAGAATCTCTTGGGGAAAAACCTTTCAGAGAATTCTTCAGATTTGAAATGTGGAAATAAAACAAAGTAATATTTTAAATCAAAACTGAATCAGAAGTTATATATAACTGCCTTCCAGTACAAGGTATTGACGTTGCATTAAATTTCACTTTATTTTTTTAAACCAGAACACTTACACAAAATTCTGTTATCATAAAACTTACAGTTTGGTGTTTTTTTCCCCAAATCTTGAATTCATAAAAAAAATTGATAGCTCTTTCCTGCACATCAGCTTTATATAGCTGAAGCTGAAAGCACCAGTCCTGGTTTCATCACATTTTCAAGGCAGAGAAGTTTCTGAATGAAGAACATGCTGTCAGCTGCTCTTACAAGGAACGTATTTTCTTTTTATCTCACTCTTACTCTGGATCTTTCTTTTCACCCAAATATTTCACCCCCATGAAATACCATCATTCTAAAACAAATGCATATCAGAAAATGAAAATTACTTTCTC